AGTAGCATTTAAGTTTGATTTTTGTTTTTAATTTTCTTAAGAAATCTAAGTATTTTACAATTAATTATGTTTTTTGTTTATCTTTTTTTTTTAACATTATCAAAATTGTATAAAAATTTTGCAAACAATCAAAACAAGTTTTTCTTTCTTGTTCTCGTTTCCAATTTGTTACAAAGTATAAATAAAAATATTGTTTTATCATACTTGAATTCATGAAAGTTTGGGTCCTGCAATTCATTTTTCTTTATTAAAAATGAAGAAACAGAAACGCTACCAAATGAACCTTTAATCTCTACCATAGAAAATCATATCAAAATTGAGTGATGATTTTTATCATACAATAATTTAGTCTTTGTAATCTATAAATACATTTTGTTCTACCTCAATTTAATGATTACATATATAAAATGCTCCATTAAATCTCATCAGTATTTTTCATGGTATTTAAAAATACAAGAACTAAATGGTCAGAACCTAAAATTATTGAATGAATCAAGGCCAAAATGGATCTAACAAAAACTTAGAGGATACCAGATTTTTTTAATATTGCTAATTATTTAACTTATTTTAAAAACAATATTAATTAAAGACTTATTCAAAAACTAATGCTAGCCACGTTATTTTTTTTTTAACAAAAAAAAAATTATTATGTCATTTCTAGACATATGCCCTTTCTAAATAATTGTGCCCATTAGAGTGACTACATATCCACTCTATAAATTTTGAGATCTTAGATTCAATTACCCAATGCTTTCATATATATATTTTGTTAGCAAATAGAATGTGTTATCAGGTAAAAACTAAAAGTTATGCGTCAAAAAGCTCACTAAGTCATGAAGGCCGAGTCAGGAATCCACGTGTCGAGCACTCCTACATATCCCGTACGAAGGATAGCCAACAAGCCGAGCGCTAACGCCCTATACCCAAACCTACTACACGCCTCAAGGGATCACTCAGGATACCTTTAAACCTCCAATTTGCAGAACCGTAAGAGTCAGAGGATGTCAATGGTCCTCACTCAGGATTAGGGAACCTCCTATTGGAACTCTCCCCTCTCGCCATATTATAGCAACTCTAATAAAGAAAAGCTGCATTTTCCTACACAACGCTTATGAGGATTAAAAACATTGACAAACTCTCACCCTCAAGATTATTGTCTCCCTTATTCTTTATGATTCATACCATTTTCCCCTTTAGAGCATCACAACGATGCATAGGAATCAAGTTATCATAAACAAAGGGTACGTGGCACCTAGGTAAACCTCAATTTATGCCAGAATGGTTTTTTGTCGTACAACATGCGAGGGTAGGAGATCAAACTCACAACCTTTTAGTTGGAAATATAGGTTAATTACTGTTGAAATATGCTTGCTTTAACGGGAATCAAATTATTAGAGACAAATAGCACATGACACCTACCCTCACTCACCAATTGACATAAATGTTATATTGCAATTTTTTTCCCTTTAAAATAAATTTTACTAAATTTCTCCTATCCCCTTAAATAAAATAATTACTATTAAGAAAACTATAATTAATGTACTCCATCATCTATATTGCATTTTTTCCCATGCAATATTGCAATTTTTTTAAATCAAAATTTTCCCTTTTAAATATAAATAAGTATTACTTAATAAAATCTTTCTTATCTCTTTAAATAAAAGAAGAATTACAATTAAAAAACTATAATTTTTTAAAACAAAAAACTATAATTAATGTTTTTATAATTAGGATTTGAATAAATATTACCTGTTAAAAATCTCTCCTAAACTTTCTAAATGGTAATTTTTTCCTTTTAAACAAATTAAAATTGAAATAAGTATTATTTATTAAAATCTCTGTTCTCTCCTTGAATAAAATAATTACAATTAAAAATTATATATTTTTTAGATATATATACATATAGTATTTTTATAATTACTATACTTAATGTACTTTTAATTTATTTTTATTTAAAAAAATTATAGTTTTTTAATAGCAATTATTGTATTTTATGACAGAAAAGAAATTTTAAGAAGTGAAAATTATTTAAAAGGAAAAAAAAATTGCAATATAACATTATACTTGCTAAAAAAGGAAAATTATGAAAAAAAAAAATTGGAGACTGAACCTAAAATCTCAAGTGATTTCTTAAAGCTGGTAGTGACTAAAATAAACAAAATATATGTTTTCAAAGTACTATGACAAAAATAAACGGAAGTCAAAAAGTACGAATACCAAAATAGTATTTAAACCAATAAATAAATACGAAATCTAAGGAAATTTTAGTAGATAAATAAAAGAGAATCACAAACTCATAGGAAATAACAATCACTTGCAAATTATTAAAAGTTGATGATGTGGTATTACTTCCGAAGCAACATAGCATAAATCACCTCCAACTTCCTTGCTTGCTTGCCTACATTCTGCAAAGCTAAATCAAAAGAAAAGATACAGAGACAAGTTTTCAAAAACGATCCTTAACTTCACCCAACATTATGAGAATCAGAGTATCAGAAAAGGTCAAAAGTAAAACAACCCTCACAAGTAAACATACAATAATCATAAAATGTGTTTTCTAAAATTTAGTAAACAACTCGTCATTTTCATTCCGACCACACTCGTCAAACCGTACCCTAAAATACGAGTACTTCATCAGAAGAACAAGGTATTTCTTGCCCTATGCAATAAACATTCAAGCTTTAAGCAATCACTTGGCTTTTACCTTTATTCCGTAGGCTTTGGTATAAGCCTGGCCAAGAATCTTTACAGCAAAAATATGAAAGAAAACTGTAAAACAAGGCTATGGGAGTTTTCAGCTGCTTTAATTCAATATGACTGATCTTCTAGGTAATGGAAATATAAGGTATAAACAATAATGATAGCTTATTGTAGAAACAAAACATGAAAAACAAATGAAAGTCATTTGAACATACTCAATTGATTAAGGTATTATAAACCTCTCTTAAGAGCTTGAGGTTCGAATCTGTACCCTATCCCTTTTTTGAACTATAAAAAAGTAAAGACGATCATATGTTCCATACTTTATTTTCAAAGAAAAAATCCAACTATCCTTTTCTCCATAGATTATATTTTCTTCAGTAACCCAAAAAGAGATGACATTACGGTTCCTGCATGACAAATGCTACAAAGAGGTGCTTGCTCTAAATAGTTCTGTGTCATACCATATTCCTTGTAACGATCTTCAATTTTTTTAAAGATAAGAAAAATGTAAAATAACTGCAAAAACAATAACATTATGCTCCTATTTCACAAGCACCCACGTGGATTTGACAGTACAGAGAAAATAGGCTTAAAAAAACTTTCAGGCCACATACCTGTAGCTACAGCTATGCTGCTCGACCACAATAAGGTGCCAAAAGTTGTCTCTAAGGTAAGCAATTCTTATTCTTCTCAAAAAATATCGGCAGCTCAGAAGCCCCATGAAACTAAAAGGTCGCAGATTTTGCTTGCAATTTAAGCATATGTCGGGGAAGATTGCTTCTTTCTTTTATATATGTGATATTGCCTTCTGAATTTTTAAACTTTGATCTCAGTTACATAAGACTTTTGTTTTCTGTATTTCAAATTCCTCAGACCTTTGTTTTACTAGTACACATTTTTCTGGTTTTAGAGATGGAGCTTTCTTCTTTTTGAAGCCTCCAAGCTATATCTTCAGGTATGACCTTCAAATCCAGCTTCTCTCTTCTTTCTTGGCATTTCAAATATTTTCCCACCTTCCAAACAGGATTTATTTTTTAAGTTTTTTCGCTGCAATGATAGAAAGTATATGTTTTGTTCGATTTCTTTTAAAGCATTGTTTGTGTGTGTGTGTGGATGGAGTTGGGGATTCATGAAGGAAGGATGTGATTCAAAAATAATAACCGAAATCTGTTCTATCTTGCAGCAGTTTTCGAGAATTATTCACTTCTTTTTGACGTATAAAAGGATCATAAACAGAAGGCACTATGCTCTCTGAGTTAGTTCATGAATTCCTACCAAGAAAAATCAGTTCCCTGTGGAGTAACTATGGCATTGAGTTGCTCGTATTGGCAAACTTGGTGTTCCAAATTGTCTTAACTTTCAATGGAAGTCGTAGAAGACACACACCAGGATACAGGCTCAGCTTATCTGTTTGGTTTGCCTACTTACTTGCTGCTAAAGTTGCAACCGTCGTTCTGGGCAAGCTCACGACAATTGACATAGGCCATACCCAGCGCAACACGCAGACCCAAATTCAAACATTGTTGGCACCTTTGATGTTCATGCAAATAGGAAATCCAGATACAATCACAGCCTACTCAATTGAAGACAATCAACTAGGAGTGAGGCAAGTTTTCAGCATGGTGATCCAAGTGGCAATTATGTTTTACATTCTTATAAGGTCGTGGACAGATTTCAAAACCTCGTTTCTTTACATTCCTATGTCTTTGGCTGGAATAATTAAGTATGGTGAGACTTCGTGGGCTCTAAAATCAGCACTCAGTGGCAACTTCGGCTTCACAATAGCAGATTTCTTCAAATATCATGAAGTGGCTAGTTTGTTTGAAAGACTACCACAGGGAGACGATGAACTTCCACAGGCAAGATTGATCCTAAGAGCATACTATAGATTTTGCTGCCTCAAACCTCATCTTGAGAATTGGCTTTACTATCCTCCAGCCGACTGTGATCATAAAAAACTATCCATTGAAGACTGTGAGTATGAAGAGGTGTTCAAAATTACAGATTCTGAATTGGGCTTCATGTATGATGCGCTCTACACTAAGGCACCCGTTGTATATACTCGTAAGGGTTTAGTTCTTCGTTTTATTAGCTTGATCAGCTTGATTGCAACAATATGTGGATTTTCAGTCTTGTTCAAGGATGCATTTGTGTATAATGTTAGTATTGGCTTGATCCATTTTGCGTTGACAACATCTGTGATACTTGAGGTTTATCAGATCTTGAGACTGCCATTCTCAGATTGGGCAATAGTGCAGATGGTAAGACACTACAAAACCTTTCCCATCCTTCGGGGTTTATTGCAGTCTCTAGCCCCTCAATCAGCAACTTGGAGAAGGTGGTCTAACACAATGGGGCAGTTCAATCTTTTAGATTTCTGCTTGCAAGCCAAGCATCGGAATTATAGCAGAATCAAAATTCTTAGATACTGGGGCTTGGATATGAAACTCCGAAAGCAATTGAGTTTGGGACAAGTTGAAGTCCATTCAAAAGTGAAAGAGCTTGTGGTTAAGGAACTGAGAGAGGTAGAGAAGATCAAAGAACAAGAAGAATTCACTAAAAGAGGTGAATGGACAATCAAAAGGTACCAAAAAGAACTCGGACTAGATGAAGGAAGCAAATTGATCCAAGAACTTGCAACAACTATAAGCGAGAGACCTTTTGATAAAAGCATCTTCATATGGCACATCACAACAAATATTTTCTATGACAACCCTGATTATCATGATACTACTGAAGGTACTAAAATGCATGCTATCATGAATCTATCAAATTACATGATGTACCTTTTGGTGACTCGATCCCACGTGCTATCGACAACAACTGCAGATATCATATTTGACCATTCGTGTGTGAAGCTCGGGAAGTTCACAAGAACTGGAGATCGAAACTCAAAGAAGAAAGCCTGCAATGATCTTTTGAGTTATGACGGTACCTCTCATGCAAAGAATGAGTCACAGGAACCACATATTTCCGCATCAGATGCAGAGAAAGTAGTTGTGGGAAATTGGAATCTGCTGAAAGATGTAAATGAACTTGCAAATAGCTTACTCACTCTGACCAACGAAGACAAATGGAAGTTAATTGGTAGTATGTGGGTTGAGATGTTGGGATATGCCGCAAGTAACTGTGAAATGGAATACCATTCAGAACACATTAGACAAGGTGGTGAATTGATCACTCATGTTTGGATTTTGATAGCCCATAATGTTACCAAATACTGTACATATGATTATCATGTGGTCGGTCAAGATGAAGAAACTCCAGCTACTTCTCATTAGCTTTTCAACTTCTCTTTTTTCCTTGAGAAATGAAATTTTATTTGCTTGTAAGTTTAATGTATCGTTGATTTTCTTTTATATGATATGTTTTTTCTACAGCATAATACATGTGAATTTCCCAAGTCAAGAATACTATATGACAATTTTTAATTATAAAGATTATAAGTCATGGATTCCTTTTTTCAAATGTGTTAAAGATGTATATATAAATCCCTAATCTGACCTCAGGTTTCACAGAGAAAATTTGGCAGGGATCAAAATAACAAAATTAAATTAAGAACATATCTCAATAATTAAGAAACTTGGCTAACAAAACATAATTATTTGCTTTTAAAAGAAACTTTAATTTCACTCGTTATATTTTCTTCTACTAGTTCTTTATGATAGGTCTCTATTACCAATTCTATTCTCATGTACTCTCGCTGTTTTCTCCACATGCATAATCTCCCATGATGCTCCTCCAAAAACTTATTTTATCTCTCAAAAATAGAAAATAAAAAACGATGATCAAATAATTATATAACAGTTAAGTTATTAAAATCTAAAATAGAAACTGTAATGAACTAAGAATTTTATTTGATGAACATAAATTTGTGTTCCCAAACAAATTTCAAGTTATAATTAGATTGAAAAGAAACCAAACATGATATAAGAAACACTGAAATTTTATTTTCAACAATATATTAAACATAAAATGAGCAACTGAAGATCACAAAATTCTTAAATTTTAAAATAAAATATCATAAAATACGCAATGGCGATAATTATAAATCAATAATATTAATAATAATGAAACACAAAAGCAGAGGATAACTCCAAAATCTCCTTCTATTCATATGCACAATGATTATGCATATCGTACATGATTATTCTAATGATAATATGAAATATCATAAATAAGTTATTATTTCTCATAACTAATAAGCAGGTAAGTTTCGTACTCAGTCAAAAATAATACTCAACAAAATAGTTGCGTCTGCCAATCTATAATTCAATCATAACAACTAGTGATACCAATAGAAATTCTTCAATATAGCTTAATGCTTTACGTTATGCAATATTAAATAGGGAGAAAAAGGTTACGTTATTCTGATTGGTACAGAATTAGAAAGTGAAAACATCAAGTTGAGGAGAATAATAGAGAACATATCATATAAAATACAAGACAAAATTACAACATATCACTCTCATATGGTTGCAGACCAGTATGGTGATCCCATATCAAAAATGAGTTCTAATTATGAGGTAACTAAGCCTGAATACAGTCTTATATGAGCTTAAAACTAAGAAATTCCATGCACTCAATGCGCAGTAAAACGCTACAGATACTGAAAGCCTTACATCAATTAAGGGATTGATATACTGCATTGAAACCAAATGATTTAGAAAAGAGGATGACTTCTGGAATTCAGGGTCTTGACAGAATGGCCACGGATTCCCACTCCAAGTTACATATCACTTCCTGCATAGCAAATTTAGAGAGCCTTAAAACATAGTCCCCCCACTTACAAATCCCTCACAGCACTCATTTTCAAGAATCAAAGTTTTTAGAAAAGACAATTTTCACAGATAGGAACAACAATTTCAGTCAAAACTGGATATTTTACCATCACAACAAAATAAGTAGACAACACAAGTTCGCATAAAAAAGTACACAGGCAACTTACTGATGGGTGTTGACGATCAATGTCAAAACCATTAATTGCACAAGGTTCCGCCAGCAATTCCACAGGCTGCTTGCCTACAAGCCACATAAATAGAAAAGTTGAGCTAGTTTATGTATATGGAATAGACAATAGTTTTTTTCACTTTTTTTTCTTGCAATAAGAAGATAACCAATAGTCATTAGATAACAGAAACAAAAGTAAAACTACTTATGTATTAGCATATGAAGCAACAAAAATACTTTCAATACACGATGATTGGCCCTCAGCCACTCCACCCCACAAGGCTTGCAGCATCAACTCATACCTTGCTCGACACTAGTCAAAATCCCATCCTCAGAGCAAATCATGGCAGGTAAAATCTGCGAAGATGACATGCCACCTATATTGCAAGACTTTATATATGGATCATAGTGAACCTCCCAAACCTCACTTTCACATGGCGAAAGATTTGAAGCTTTGCTCCTTTCTAGACCCGAAAGAATAATAGGCTGCTGTTGCCACCTCAAATCCCAGGCAAAAACAGTTCCAAAAGAGCCTCCTGCCTAACATGGGGAATAATAAGCACACTAATATCATAACTCATAAATAAGGGCAGAAGAAGAAAGATAAAACAACATGAAGTGGTGATAACCTTAAACAAAGAAAAGAAGAACATTAAAAAATTCTATAATATGATGATATTAAGGTTGGAAAACAAATTTCACTAATGACCTAAACTCCCGAAAAGTTAAAAAATAAAAACTATATGTTTCTTTAAATTAATTAATTCAATAACTTGCCCAAGTAATCTACTAAAAGAGTTGGATCGAAAAAGACTTCATAGGAGTTTGGCAATTGCATATGGCTCATGTCGCACCTATAACCCAAACTGAATGGTAGAAAGTAAAGAAAATATCTCACACAAAGTTTTAAAGGAAACCGTGAGCTTGCAGTCATGGATCTTCTACAGAGTTAATAGAAACGCACGTGACTAAGATTGCTTGAGTACCATGAAAAGATAAGAAGGTAAGGCAACTGATTTACCAAACAGGTATGCTTTCGCGAAGGATGGATGTCAATGCAGTGAACAATACCAGAAGCCCTGTAATATTGACACAGAAGAAGAAATTCAGCACCCCTGTTAATCAACTTCGGCACCTTACTCTTTTCAAGATTAGAGACCAAATTTCATTTACTAGTTTTTGTAGACAAACCAGAGATTTTTTAAGAACTAGTTATTCTTTCGTCTACACAAACAAGCAACTATCACATGAAAACTTTTCTAAACCCGTACCGATGTGTAGCAAGGCAAACTCATAAAGCCCACAACATTTAATTACCAAGTCCTAGATGCTAAATCTTCACATGTATATGACAGGATGCCAAGCGAGGTAAACAAATTCACATACCAGTCGCCCTTAAACTGAGAAACTGCTCCCCCGGGCTTCCTCTGATCCCACCATTGCAAGCTAAACCCACAACCTCCAGTCGCAAACTCAGTAGGCGATGCCCATTTCGCTGCAGTATACGACACCAACCCATTACTATCGAATATCCGACGATAATTCAATCCAGATTCCCCAACGCTCACCAAATTCACCCGCCCATCTTCCGCAACAGTCAGACATTCACCGCCGCCATCCATCACATCGACGCAAGAAATTGGTCCGTCGTGCAACGTCTTCTCGGGTACCGTGAGCTCCGAATCGAGCGACGCATCCATCGGCTCGACAGACAAAACATGAAGAGAACCTGTATAAGTCGAAGCAAAAACGAGAGGGTTTTGGTAGGTCTGAGAGGTTTTAAGGGAAGAGACTCTTGAAGGTGATATCCAAGTCGAATGAGGAGCTATATCCAGCAGATTTTGAGTCACGGAGTGAATTTCAATGGAGGATGAGTCGGAATCGGAGTCAAAAGTGGCAATGACAGCAAAGCGACCAAATGCGGAGAGCGATGGAAGCCACCGAACGCCATCGACGTACTTGAATAGCGGAAATCTGTGGATTTGAGGTTGCTGCTGCTGGGGGCTTATGATCGCCATTGTTAGGGTTTAAGGGAGCTTGGTTTCAACGAGGATCAGAATGTGACGTCGGAAATTAGAATGGCGAATTCTGCGGGCCGCCGATCCAGCCAAATTAAATTTGGGGGTAGTTTGGTCCTTTTCACTTATTTCCTTTTTCCGAATAAACATGAAACCTTAACGTTGATTACAAATTTAATCTCAAAGTTTTATTTTGTACGTAAAAAAGGAAAATATCTTCATAATTTCTAAACTTTTTAATTTTGTCAAACTTTAAGTGTTTAATAGTTTTTTGAACTTCTATATCTATTCAACATTTTTGAAATTAATAAATATATTAGATATAAAATTGAATTCAATTTTTCATTTAATAGAAATAATTATAAATTTATTATTTTGTATACGATAATTAAGCGAATTTTAATAAATGTAGAATAGATCAATACTGTTAGACATAAAATTGAAAGTTTAGAGATCTGTAAGACTTTTTTTTTTAATTCAACAACTTACTGTATACAAAATTGAAAGTTCAAATATTTATTAAACACTTTAAAAATGTAGGAACTTATTAGAAACGAGCTTGAAAGTTTAGAGTTAAACTTCTAATTAACCAAATATTAAATGTGTTTATGCAAGGATATGCACAACAGTGTATTTCAGATTGCAGCTCGAACTCGGCCTCCGGACCGATCTGAATACTTGGGCGGACCTGCACAAAAAGGTGAGCACT